AGCCCAGCATTCATTCCTGGCTGTGGCAGGGGGTCAGGCTAGATGATCTGTTCAGGTCCCTCCTGACCCTAGCTACTATGAAACAATGAAACTACAGAAGGGACCTGAGCAGATCATCAAGTCCGACCCCCTGCCATGGGCAGGAAAGAATGCTGGGGTCAAACAACTCCAGCTAGGTGTCTATCTAGCCTCTTTTTAAAGACCCGCAGGGTAGGAGCGAGCACCACTTCCCTTGGAAGTTGGTTCCAGTTCCTAGCCACCCTGACTGTGAAGTAGTGCCTCCTGATATCTAGCCTGAATCTACTCCCCATCAACTTATGGCCGTTATTCCTTATTACTCCTAGTAGTGCTCAGGGGAACAGGGACTCTCCCATTGCCTACTGGTCTCCCTTGGCCAGTTTATAGACAGCCACCAGATCCCCTCTCAGCCTTCTCTTGTGGAGGTCGAACAGCTTCAGGTCTCATAGCCTCTCCTCATAGGGCCTGCCCTGCTATCACCTGGTCATGTGAGTGGCCCTCCTCTGGACCCACTTGATGTTGTCCACATCCCTCCTAAAGTGCGGCACCCAGAACTGGACGCAGTACTTCAACTGGGACCTGACCAAGGTCACATAGAGGGGGAGGATCAGCTCCTTGGACCTGCTTGTGATGCATGTGTGGATGCATGACAAGGTGCAGTTAGCCTACCTGACTGCCTCCCCACATTGGCGGCCCATGTTCATCTTGGAGTCTATAATGACTCCAAGAACCTTTTCTGCCCCTCTGCTGACGAGAAGGGAGTTCCCCAGCCTGTAGGTATGCTGCTGGTTCTTCCTCTCTAGGTACAGTACCCTGCACTTGTCAGTACTGAATCCCATCTTATCCTCATCCGCCCTCCCCTGTAACCTGTCCAGATCCAATTGTAGCCTGTCCCTCCCTTCTACCGTGCCCACTTCTCCCCACATCTTAGTGTCTTCTAAGAATTTGAACAAAGTGCTTTTCACCTCCTCGTCCAAGTCGCTGATGAAGATGTTGAACAGTGCGAGCCCAAAGACCAAGCCCTGGGGGACCCCATTGCCCACATCCCTCCAGGTAGAATAAGACCCATCCACCACCACTCTCTGGGTGTGGTCCTCCAGCCAATTGGTGACCCATCTGTGTAGGCATCGCCACCACAATCTCCTAATTTTTTAACAAGAATGGGGTGAGAGGCAGTGTCGAAGGCCTTTCTAAAGTCCAGAAAGACTACGTCCACCGCAACACCTGCATCCAAGGATTTTGTGACCTGGTCATAGAAGGCCACCACGTTGGTCTGACAGGACCTGCCTCTAATGAACCCATGTTGGTTGCCCCTAAGCCCCTAAGGTTCTTAATTCTATATCCAAGTTTATTATATCCCTTTATTCAAACCTAATAAGCATTCTCAGATAAGCTCATTTTAGCAGAACAGAAAGTGAAAATGATAACGTTTTCTTAATCCTAGGCATAGTAGAAACCCATAAAGTCAACATGTTTATATTATCAGGTTTATAGGAGAAAAGGCCACATTATACATCTTTCCTGTTTCCTTGTGCAGACCAAAAATGAAACAAACATATACAAAAAAACCAAAAAACTTACTCGTACAATAAGAATCCATTTGATCAGCGATAGGCCAAATCCACAAATTGCACCATATCTTCCTGCTATGGTGTTCGTTATACAGAAGGATAAGCAAAATCCAATCCAGTTGAAAATAAATGCCACTAAAACCAAGAGAATCAGTAGCATCCGGTTAGTCAGTGCTAAGAATTACATACATACAGATAAAGTAGTGTGTGGTGGGCGGTTTGGGGAAGAGGGGTGGTACATGCACGTACATACCATCTATATATAAAATATACATTTATTTATTTATTTATTTAATCTTCCATCACTGATTTTACTAAAAATACCACTGAATACATTTCCTTAATAAGAGATCCATATTAGTGTTTCAGATGATAATATTCTTTTGAGGACTGAAATTCCCAGCAGTACTTTACCTTAGAAGTATAGCACCTCATTAAATGGTCAACATTATTTAAACAGTGAGAATTCCAAATGAAACTACATGCATCCTCTAGGCTAGGGACAGAAGTTACACGTAAACCTGTATAAGTGATTGGAAACCCGTTCAAATTTGTAACACAACAGAAGTTTAGAGCACATAAACCAATTTCAAAATGGTAAAAACTGGTTTAAGATAAACCTAGAGGGATGTAGTATCAGACTGAACTGATTTACTTTAAATCAGTTTATTGAACTTCTGCCCCAGATCTGCTCCAGATTCAAGTTAACACTCAGTCCCCCAGCATCCCAGGATGCTTTGTACCTCCCCTGAAAACCCCTCTGCTCCAAGCCAAGCAGGGAGGCATGCTCTAGCACCTCTCTGGCTTCTAGCCTGAACCACTGCAGGAATGTGGCTGCATTTCTGGAATCAAGAAAGAATGTTCGTTCATTTGCTTGCTGGTTCAACCTACACAGTTTAGACTAGCCTGCGAAGACTGAATCAATTCAGCCTCGGAATTTTTTACTGTCTGCATTTAGTCCTAGAGAATGATTATAAACTGCACAGAAATCTGACTCGAACCCCATAGAACCACAAGGATGAACACACCAAACAAGGACTATGAATTAGGCAGATATGCAACTTTAAGGATTTTAATCTTGGAACTATAAGAATGTAGCAAGATAATTTACAACTAGTATAATGCAATTTCACACAAGTATACATATGCTAGAATAATTCTAATGTAGGGCTTTTCTTACTTTAGATAAAATTGAAAATAAAATAAGTTACTTGCTCTCTAAATTGATTATAAAGTGAAATACCTTTTGGAGAAATCACACATTGCACCCTGTCCTGGTCCAGAAATCATAACACCCATTATTTGAATACAGTATCATAATGTATTATATATCATAATCCATTATGTAAATAAACAGAATAAATCTTTTTATAATATCTCTTACACTCATGGCAAGTTAAACAACAAATGGATCACTGTGTTTAAATGTTCTCATTGCTCTTACTATCAGATTTCACTTGTAATGTTCTCAGTGATTGCCTTTTGCATGTTTTAGTGTTAGTTACTAGCAACACTGTCTATACAGACATCATCTTGTATACAATGAACACAGTATGGGAATTCTTCTGAACAAGGTAGTCTCCCACTGTTGGAACTAAGTGGAAGCAATACAAGAAATACCAAAATAGTTCTGAGAAAGAAAATTGGGAAAGAGAGATTAGCGAGTTTAGGAGTGGATGAGATACTGGAAAGTTGACTACATCAGAGAGAACAGAGAAAAAAAAAAAAAAAGAGGCATCCATCAGGAGGGAGGGTTACAAAACAGAGAGAAAAAGCAGCATTGCTAATGAAAAACTAAGCTAACTTTTTTTAACAATAAGCGCCTAACAACTTTTACTCCAACGCTTTACAAACAATCCTATGAAAAATCAGAACTACTAGGTAAACGCACACAGAATTGATCCATTTTCCAAAGCATTATATAAAATCCATATAACAAGTACAAGTAAAAGATTCCATAACAAGAAGTCACGCACAGAGCATAATCAACCAACCAACCAGTAAAACCTTTTCTATCAAAAAAAAAATCTAACAACCTCTCGTTCTATACAGGTAAACCTTTACATTTTGAAGATAAGAGACCAAAACTGTAAGTGGGACTTCACAAACTGTGAAGTGCCCTTGCCTAAAAAAGGGGGCACTTCACAATGACTTTCGTAAATACGGTTTCATACTTTGTCTCACCTTTAAAAAAAATCTATTTTATATATGTACATGAAAAGAACAAGTCTCTCCCAAATAAGTGGTGGCTACTATAAAGTTCACTTTTAGGCAAGTCACAAAAAACTAATAAATGGGTTAGCTAAAAAAGAAATAGCATTTTTATTGCATAAAAAGAATATGTAAAACTGCATCCACAGATAATCTTTTCAAAAAGAAGAAAAGTTTGTTAGTAAAACAACTCTGATAAATCCCATTCAGAAATCAAAGTTTCCTTTTTCTTTCCTAATAACCTCTCCCAACTTGCCACACTCAAGTCTACACTGAACTTCAGGAGTCAGTACTTTAAACGTTAGCCTACTTCTGTCTCAGCATAAGATTACTGTTCCCTTTTTTGCCATGCTTTTGCAACGGACAAGCCTGTTCAATCTCTATGCAGGTATGCCAAAAAGGTGAGGCCCAGTAAGACTATGTAAATAATCCTTTCAGACTATGCTCATTTGAGCAAATCCCTGCAATTATAAGACAAATAAATCCTCACCCATAAACACACACAAACCTTTACATCACCCTAAGCTCAGTACTGATAGTCTCATCTGCTCAGCATTACCTGGAATTACATTCATTTCATGAAGACACACCCAAACACTGAGAAGTGGGGGGG